GCCAAAAAAAAAAGCCAACAAAGCCACTGGCAGCCATCCATTCACCGCTCCCCAGGAGCAGTCTGCTAGCTCCCAGGAGCCTGCCAGGGTGGAGATCATGGACCGTATTCAGGTTTGGGGGGAATGCTCTAACATCCATGATCTCTGCACTAGATTGAGGAATGTGGCCGTCTATGGCAGGATAGCTGCCAGCCTGGCCACCAAAGGCCACATGCAAACCCAGAGTAGGTTCCCTTTCCCACCCTCTCTTCTCTCTCCCACCTCCTTTCCCCAGTCTCACCAGAGTTTCATCCCCCGCCCAGTTTTGTTAAATAAAGAGAGTTTGTGTTCATGAAAATACGTGTATTTTATTTTACATCGGAAGGGGGGGGAGTGCTAGGGAGGGGTAAGTGGAAGGACATGAAGGAGGAATGAGGTACAAGCCCCCCAGTGGGGCAGACCAGGGAGGCTCTTAGTGCTCCTCAGGGTGGAAGCTCTCCCGCAGGGCCTCCTGGGTACTGACAACCTCCCAGATGAACCTCCCGGATGGCAGCCTGGCTCACAGCAATGTGTCCACGAGAAGCACCAGAGTGCCCAGGGGCCGTTCTGGCTCCATGTTGCGGAGTGCTGTGGTGTCCCGAGTGACGGCAACCATGATTAGGCTTCTGGTCTGTTGAAACCTGCCTGTCATACTGTATCGTCTCATTGGATGTGGGGTTTTGTGTGTGATCCCCTATTTTATACCCACCCGTTGTATCATGTCTTATAGTTAGACTGTAATTTCTTCAGGGCAGAGGTTCATCTTTAATGTTGTTTGTACAGCACCTAGCACAATAGTACCCTGTTTATGTTTGTACAGCACCTAGCACAATAGGACCCTGTTTGTATTGAGGAATCTAGGCTTCAATACATTGTTTGACAATCCTAACTCTATTCCAGACCTATCCCACTTACAAACAGTTGTCTTGATACATCATTTAGTCCTAGTCGTGCTAGATCAAAGGGCATTCGGCCTTAATATCACCATTATATTGCACATTCAGAAGCGAACTGAGCTAACATCAAGAAATGTCCAGAATGGTTTAGGGACATGTGTTTCTGAGTCCTGTATAATTGGTCCTATGTTAAAAACTGTTATCAACCCTGAATGACCATCCCATGTTTCTTTCTATAGCAAGGACTGTGAGATTAGGGTCCTGAAAAGAATCCTGGCATGGCTTTGGGTGCTAGGTGGGAGATGGGGTGGGAGGCATGATGGGCCTACAGGAGAGAGGGCTGCTCAGGCTTGGGGCGGGAGGGGTCGAGGCAGTGATGGAGGCTGAATGATGGCCCTGCTGCTGGCTTGTAAGGGTTCTGAGCTGAGCTTGTGGCTGGAGGAGTGTCTCCCTTCTTCTCTCCTCACTACCCATGCAGTTGTCAATTCTGGGGCTGCTTCCAGGCCAGTTCCATGGCATCTTAGAAAAATGCTGTTCCTCCCCCGCAGGGGTGCACCATGCAGGTGGTGGGACCTAGGAACGTTTTCTGCGCACAACAGGTGAAGCCCAAGTAGCAGTAGGAGGCTAAAGAACCTGTTGCTGCATTCTTGCCTGCCTGGGCTCCCCCAGCACTACAGCAATGGTGCTCTCTCAGATGGTTGGTGGCAACCCACTGCTTGAAAAGTCCTGATATGTTTTTCATATGTCGGTGGCTGGGTTACTAGGTTGCCTGAGATATATCAGCTTCCAGGCCTCTGCGTGACAGAAATGTTAGCATCAGCATATCTGGAAATCACAAAAAATAATCTAAATTAGCTTTCCTGAGAAATAAGTGTCAAAATTTTAGAAGTTTGTATTTCAGAATGTGCCCAGTCTTGAAATGGGCTCTGGATAATCACTGGAAAGGCAGCTCTCTGGCGGGGCAATGCTCCTGCTTCTAGCAGTGGCTAATCAGTCCTTAAAACTACCCCCAAGTATAATCTACTCAGAAT